TTTAATTTTGCAATTTGTATGCAGTTCAACATTATACTTTTAACCAGAATATTTAAAAATTCATACGAGAGAATATGAAATGAATATAACTGCAATTACCATCTTGAAAAAAAAATATCTGTAGATCTTTTCGAACCTAACTAATTTCAGATGAGAAATCCTCAAATGCGAATTTTACTTTTACCTCAAATGCGAATAGTACTTTTCTTTCTTTATTTATTTAAACAAAACTGGGTGCCTAGGCCGCGCAGCGGCCCCTACCCCATTCATCATGAAAATTATATACAGTGAATAAAACATTTTGAATTATGTAACAATGTGATAACATTATAATAAAGTAACCATGATTAGAAGTATGTACAAACTTGATCGGAGATTTACAATAATTGCCATTGAAAAATGAATACAGCCATGATTAGATGGATATACATGAAATACGAGCTTAATCTGTGATATTTACATTTATTGCAGTAGAAATTTGGAATTGAGCATTAAAAATTGATGATAGCATATATACAGAAAATCGGGATTCAAAATCATGAAGATTCTACATAAATTTTGCAAAGCCTTAGTGATGCCATCTAGCATGCTTTAATGATTTGTGGTAGCCATAAGAAAATCAAGCCGTTTACTTGTGTAATAATAAAACAATGAAAAAATTCAATATGACAAATTGGCGTTTTTACATAACACTAGAAATATTGATGCTAGACTTAAATTACAAACAAAGATAAAATATGATTTGATTTGTACAATAATTGATTTTTGAAAAATGAAAGACATAATTGATGAATATAGATAAATCATACCTTGATATATGATAAAATAACATATTTGGAGAAAATGCAGTAAATATATTTTATCAGAGAAATATTACTCTTTAAATACAATAGAATTTGCAAAATAATTTAACGTGCATAAGTTTTTTCATAAGTATGCATAAATTGGCTATATTATCAGAAAATAATGTATTTTAATTTAACGTAAGTAAAAGTCTGCAGTGAGAATAGTACTTTTAGGAAAGCAACAAATAGTTTTTAACCCCAGAGAAAACCCCAGACAAATATAAGCGATTTGAGGAGTTTAGCATGATAAATAACGCCTACTTTTTGTTTGGGGCATATTCCAAGTTAAATTGACCAATGAGAGTTGCTCACAGATTTTCAAGGTAGGAAAGATTCTTTTTGGTAGGAAAGTAGGGGAGAGGGGGGCACATGTGAACAAATTTTTTTATTTATTCATTTTTCAAAAATTATCATAAATTTCTCACAGTGAAGAAGTCCATATGTTTAAATATTCTTTTCTTTGTCTCATGGAATTTTTCGAGATTTTTCAATAAAATATTTTTTTACTTTATGATATTTTAGAAAAATGATTTCAATTGTTCACATGTGCCCCTATTGGGGGCACATGTGAACACGCCTGGGACATATATGAACAAGATTAAAAGCACGAAGCAATCATCATAGGTCAAAGAAAAAAAAATCTTTAATATAACAGATATAGATTCGCATTATACTGAAGGGGTTGTAGCTTACTATGTGAATTTTAATTGTACAACAGTATTGTCAATAAGAAACGAATTTTTCAGCTGTACAATAATTTTTCCGCTGTTGGGTTTTTCGCAACTTCATGTTCCTCAGGAGTTGTAATGGGTCTTTTTCTTTCTTCTCTAATATTCTGTCATGATTTTTTTTCTCTTCATTTTCGCTATCTTTTCATTTGTAGCTTTAGCAATTCTACCCTTCTCAGGTGTATCAGTTAATAAGCGTGATGCGCGATCAACCATTTAATAATAAATAAAAAAAATTTTAAGAAAAAATTAATAAATTAATTATGGAATATTAAATAATAATAATTTTAAATGCATGCATATTTTTTAAACTTATAATATTATGAGGATAAAAATCTTAATACTATGTAGGGGCACATGTGAACTGTTCACATCTGCCCCAGATGTTTTGTTCACAAGTGCCCCATCATCCTTCGTAAACCTAACTTGAAAAATAAAGAATTTTTAATTGAGTAAAAAAAAAATAAATAATTGTAATAAACTTACCTGAATGTTCATATAGTAGTCTGCAATAGTTAATTTTAGTTTATTAGCAGATTTATACTATGCTTTCACTTGAAGAAGCGAGTGATTATAATATATACAACACCAGCTGATACAAAGAAATTGTGAGAATGAAACAATAAAATGTCTCATTGCTCTGAAAGTTTTGCAGAGAGGTAGAACTAGTACTGCCATCAATTGAAAATTTTTCGATATTTTTTGTTTCAAATCATATTGGTAAAACATACCATGTTCACATGTGCCCCCCTCTCCCCTACTTTACGTAAAATGGCTAAAATATTTTTTCAGAACTTATGTATAAAAAATGAGGGCTAGAGTTCCAATTTGAAATGTAATTCATTTAAGCAGAATGACGTCACTTGGTGAGGTGGTTTATATGTTTGTAACCTCCATATTTTCTTTTATTTATGAACCAATTTTGGTCTGTTTGGCGTCATTAAAAAGATAAAGCTACTAGTTATGCATTAAAACTATTAAAATGTTAAACGTATAAAAAAAAGTTTTAAAATTTGCACTAAAAATATATTTTAGAGAAAATTTTGGCAAGTTTCAAGATTTTTTTGCAGAGAAGTAACAACTTTTATAAGTTTGAACTTTTTTCTCATGATGCTTAATAACCTACTTTTCAACATTAAAATAAAATAGGAGGGTGTCTTTTTGTTTTTAATCTATAAAAAAAAAAAAAAAAATTGTTGAAAAGCCAAACAAAGAATTCCGTAATTTATTTACAATGGGTATCAAAACATTTTACAATATGCTCTTATTATTTATAGAATGAGAGAGGTTAAATTTAATTTTATAACTGACGTTGAACAGCTGATGCAATTTTGGGTTAAGGACTAATAATATTCAACTCCGCAGCCTAGAAATTTTGAACCCAATTCAGAAGACAAGGGATTAAGTAATGGAGAAATTTTGCTTTCGATGGAACTAACCCCCATTTATGACACATGGGGAGGAAAACCACGAAAACCTTCAGCAGTTTGTCTGACCGAAAGGGGACTCTAATCCGTCAACCACTGAGAATATTTTTACGTCAGCACTGTGTTGGTGTGAGCCAGCAACGGATTTGTTGACGAGCAATAGCTGGGATTCGAACCCGGTTCATCTCAGTGGGTGGCGAACGCTACTCCCTGACCCAGCACGACTCGACAGGTTAAATTTTTTTTAATTTTGTAACTGTCGTTGAGGAACCAATCCAATTTTTTTGGGTTTGCGATTATTAATATTCAACTCCGTAGACTTGCAAATTTGAACCCAATCAAGAAGATAAGAGAACTCCTGGATCAAGTATTGGGAGAAATTTGCCTTCGCGGTGGACATTTTGATCGAACCAACCCACAGTTGCGTTACATGGAGCAAAAAACCACGAAAACCTCCCATCGTCAGGCCATCGCAGGGATTCGAACCCGGTATACCTAATTCGAAGGCGATTGCTCTATCCCCTGCGCCACGACTTCTCCGAGAGGTTAAAATAATATGTATAATAATTATTGTGGTTTTCGATATTTCATATCACCTAATTTTCCACGTTTGGCTATAAACTTTCAAATTGAAAAGCAGCCAAATAATAAAATATTTTTGATTGTCATTAATATAAAATTGAATAATATAAATATGTAAATAAATAGGTGCAATTATTGAATGGTGCTTTTATCGAATTATATATTTATAAAAAATTTAACTATAGTTTAGTTTTTTTTTATATATAAACTGCATTTTAGTTTTTGTATAATATTAAAAAATGTAACTATATTTTAGTTTTGTTACAATATAAAAAAAATTAACGATACTTAGTGTTCATTTCGTTGTAATATAAACTGCATCAGTTTTGCAAATTTCTGTTTTGTCCTGCTGAATTCGTTGATAATTTGATAATTTTTAATTAACTATTTAAAACTTTCTTAATTTTAGTTACTTTTAAAAATGAAAGTTGTATGGTTAGACCATATTAAATTAATAGGAAAACATATAAACCAATTTGTTTCTATATTTTATTTTAAAGTTTAAACAAAATTGTATTTAATTGAAAAACTTAATGACCCACCCCTAGCTTTATGATTCCCAAAATAAGTATACAAATAAAATGCAAGATATAAATTAATGATAAGACAATAAATTATAATAAGTATACGATTTTAGATATGTAAGGCATTTTAGTTTAAAAAAATTACCCAAAGTGAAGAGAAAAATTTTATCCAAAGGAAGAAAATACCCTTAATGTAAAAAAGAAAAACCCTGCTAAAAAGATTTTAAAAATTTTTCTTACATTTCAATAGCATCAAAAATAAAAATATTGATTTTAGTCTGTTTACATTTCAATTATGCATGTTTGAAAATTTTTTTTTCCAGGAAGACTCATTGTTTTACAATCAATCATTAAAAATTCAAAACAAAGTAATAATTCTACTTAAGCTAGTTACTTTACTCCTGATATCAAGTTGCACAGAATAACACAGGTTATAACATAATGTATATAAAAGAAGAAAAAAAAAATCGAAATTTTGCTCGGAAAATAATTTTGTCCCCTTTAAAAGAAAGTAGGAACCAATCATTTGAGCAATTAAGATTGTTATTTAGGATGAGTACGTAAAAGACTGATCATCAGAACAATATATTATTTGGTGATTTTTCTAAAGCTCTTTGAATACTTACACTGCTCTCGAGGTTTTGCCAGAAAAGTTGTTTAATTATATAAATATTTTACATTTGGCGATTATACTTTTTCTTGTATTGCTCTCTTTAAAGTTAAGGCAAATTCCAACTACAAATAAATAAAAAAAATGTGTGTGAAATCATTGTTTTTGTTAACCTCTGTTCCAAAAAATCTATGATCGTGAAGAGTTAAAAGCTGGCAAATAATTTTGTCGAAACTTGCCGTCTTTAATTTAATTTATTTTCTAATAACGTTTTTGGAGATAATAAGACTTTTTATAATGTTTTCACGGAAAGAATGTTACCTAATTTACTAGTGATTTTGAGAAAATTTATCGCTGAATTAACATGTTTATTCATTTGAATATCGGGATGATGTTTATCTTTTAAAGGTATGGAAATTTTACTATCATTATTTGAAAAAACTATATTTTTCTATAAACAATTACTGATTTTGCACAGCTGTTGATTTTAAATACAAAAAGTAGAAAATCCAGGAAAACATTGCCTGTTACCATTTTCTAGTAAAAAGCAAAGTAATTGCTTTGTCTACTTTCTATTTTGTAATCTTAGGCGTAAAAGTCGCCAATGTTAATTCATCGGAAACTAGTAAATTCAATTTTTTTAAAATTTATTTTTAATTTTTAAAATGGCGGCTATGCGGAAAATTTAAATTAATTATTTTATAAAATAGCTAAATTTATTCGGGCCGAAGAAATGGAGAAGTTCTTTATTCTGATTTGATTGCAAAATGTCACTAAATTTCTTTCCCTTGAAATAAATTAAAATTTTATTGTTTATTTCGTTTTTACACGTAAATTTTAACGAAATTAACTTTTTATTCATTTAAGATAAAAACGCCTGTTTCAAAACTAATGCATTAAGAAATATCAATTTTAATATTTGAAGGGAAAAAATATCCTCCATATTTTCAACTTGAGCAAAATATTGACCTATTTTGATCCAAACTATTAGACTGTTTGATGTATCTGTGAAATATAATTTTCTTAAATTTATTATCGTCAACGCATTGTTTGCTGGCAAATTTTCAAAAAAATTTATTAAAGTTGTTAGAGATTGAAATTTTAGAAAAGTGAGAGGCAAGATTTGATAAAAGTTGGAGCAAATTTCTCACTATAGCTACAACTTCAAATTTAAAAAAAAGGAGATATTTCCGTATCGTGATCTGTCTCACCAACTACAATTGCCAAGGTGCCAAAATAACTTTTAAAATTGCAAATTTTTTTTTGAATAATGAAAAAAAAACGTGTACATGTTCGTCAGGGGCTGGCTACGAGTTATACCTTTTGAGTTGGTCCCTTTTTAGTTTCTCGCGGGCTACTGCTCGGAAGTTGCCTAGACTTATTGATTATTCTGCCACAAATCGCGATACGGAAATCTCCCCTAAAAATGACGACGAGCGATTATAGCACTGATTAAATACATACCGAATCATTTATGTTTGTGGTAACCACGAATGAATATTTTATTTGAAAAACAGAGCGGAAATGAAGTAATTTTGCGTTAACTTTTTAAATTTTTGTATGGATTCAAGAAATTTGAAAAACGTATTTTAACGCGACTCGCTTGCAATGCGTTAAAATATACTTGAAAGACCATGGTTTAAAAAAAAATTCTGAGAAAAAAATAATGATACTAAAATGAAGCAGTACAATTTCATATACTGCACCGTTCAACAAGCCGTAAAAAAACGCCAAATTGTGATAAATGAATTCGGGATGACAGAAGTAACCTCAACGGTCCGCATAAGAAATACCGAAGTCAAAGACACTTACCATAAAAATATCACAGTTGGTATCATCTGACAAATGTATACCAAACAGTAGCACTTAATTTTATAAAATATGAGTATAGGGTATACCGGGCAAATGTGCCATTTAAACTCAAAAAAGCATCAGTGTAGGGTAAACCGGGTAATGGCTTTGCATTGCTTTATTAATCGAGTTATTAAAAAACAATAAACAGCAATTTGATTATCATTATTCGTGATTAATTCGGCCAAAATAAATTTATCGCAGCCACAATGGCCACCTTCAATTGATTAGCACTCGATACTTTTATTCTTATTAATTATTTTTATTTAATTTTTTTGGAACAATATACTTTAAGGGGAGTGATTCAAACACCATGCATTAATACCACACATTTTTCTATCCAGGCACTTTATAATCACAATGAAGTCAATTTATATAGTTGTTGTCCTGTTATTTTACCAAAATGTTGTCCTCGCTCAAGAGCAGTGCCCCGCCATCTACAGGCGATTTCACAAACAGCATGTTGGATGCTTACCCAGGAAAAGTACTTGTCGATTTGTGAAAATTGGCATAGCAGATACATACAGAACAAGTCAAGAAATCTTAAAAATCATCAACGAATACCGAAGCAAAGTGGCCATGGGGGAGGAAAAGGGGGCCGGAGGTATGCCGCCAGCAGCGGACATGATTGAAGTAGTAAGTAAAATCTTCTGAAAATCTTAAAAACTACTTTACAAATTCACCCCAGAGATCGATGCAGTTTACAATTGATGAGTTCGTGGTAATAGGAAGATTTCGCAAATTTACGTTACCTTCCATCAGCTCCTGTATAAGATTTCAAGTAATTGCGCATGCGCACTGTGTCAATTCTAGAGTGAAATGTGTACGCGTCCGTAAAGAAATATCTAACTTACGTAAGTGAAAATAAGAGAGATCTCAAAAATCCATAAGTTAAAAACGCTAAAGTAGGGAAATATCATTTTAACTCTGACCACAAAATCAAAACAAACATTTACAATGGATGTATTTTATTTCTTTAAAGCTGTGGTATACGATTCAAGATGCTTTTTTACTCTACAAGATGCTTTGGTAGAATATAGATATTGATGAATTTACCGACAAAGAATGCAGTCTATTTTTATTAATTAATATATTTAAAAAATATTATTGAATTTCTATTAATTACTTAACTTCTTTTAACTAAATTATATAGTTAAAATAAATATAATATTGAAATAAAATAAACTCAGTGACACGACAGCCCATAGAGGGCCAAGGCCTATTGTGCTCACCTCAGTTTTCTTGACCTTGGGCTCTGGGGTGCAGGAGCAGATGTTCGGGTCAGGTGGTCAGCGAACGCGGACCCACAGTGTTTAGCTCCCAAGCATACTTGGTACTCATTTATCAACCCACTGAAGGGATGAAAGGCCGAGTCAACCTTGCCCGGAGCGAGGATCGAAATCAGGACCTGTGGCACGGGAGCGCGAAGCGCTACCACTCAGTCATTCAGGTAGTCAAAAAATATTTTTCCTACTTTACAACAAAATGTTAATGTTTAATATTGTCACGTAGAATAAATAGGACTTAGTCTACAAAGTACGAGAGCTTTATTCAACACCTACAAAGATTTATTTTTATAAATAAAGACTGCATCCATAAATCAGACAATAACATTGTTGGATAAATTTCATTAAAAACTACGTTTATGAAGCACAAATGAAAAATTTTTATTAAAGCCTATACGTGTTTCCAAGTCACATTTTTAGATCATCATCGGTAGTATAAATTAGTAAGGATGATAAAACAGGTAGTGGTGTAATTCGACTAAAATTACGTCACACTAAAAAAGATATAAGTACAGTTAAAGTTAGCAATACTAAACTGACAGAAAAAGTTTTTTTTTTTTTTTTTTTTTTTTTTTTTTTTTTTNTCAGAGTTTTTTTTTTTTTTTTTTTTTTTTTTTTTTTAAAGAAATAATGAATTTTAAATGTTCAAAAAATATGGTATACTAACCTGATTATTAACCAAAGCTTTTAGCTTTGACAACGTGAACATTCTCAGAAATCCAGGTCAAAGCATAAAATAAATTTATAAATGATATGAGGTGAGGCGTTTTGCAATATATGAGTGGTGGTATTCTTTATTCTGGAAATTTTACTATTTGTGACTTTTAAGCGTTTTTTTAAATGAAATTTAATTTTGCCGCAGAGGATGGTTTACAGAGTATTGTCTTCATCCTAATTGTTTTCACTCTAATTTCAGACATGGGATGAGGAACTGGCATATTTGGCTCAAAAATGGACTGAGCAATGTCACTATAACCACGAATGTTGGGAATGTCGGTTGTCAAGTAAGTATTTATTTTCCTCAATATTGAATGCACCGAATTGATTACTTTTTCTGTGGAATTTTCGACCTAATTAAACATATTTGAAATTATAATAAACATATTATAATTTTACACATTTCAAGTACTATGGTGCCCAGTTATACTAGTTCTATGATCTAGTTTCAGGAGCACAATTTGTACAAACGATCAGGAAATTCCTCAAAAGTCGTGTTTATCATTTTTTGTTTAAAGTCGTGTTTATCAAGAACTAATCGATCAATTCACTTTAAAATTATACATATAACAGCTAAACATTATTATAAATGCCATTGATATCTGGTGATCATTTTGGCGCTGGTACTAACACGGAAATCTTCGTAAGCGAAAAAGCATATAATTGTTTAAATATTTAAGAATTTAGAGTTTTTATATGTAAAGAGTAATGGCAGTGTGAGGGAATTATAAATCGTAGTATAACAATTTATTTAGTTAATACTGGGTCTCATAGTCCAGTGATAGAGTTGTGGCTACATGAATAGCAATTTTTAAATAACCATTAATCACCATAAGGCATGGGAAAAAATATGAATTTGTTTTGCTTTCCAATCTTTCCATCTGTGTTTGATTACTTTTTAAATCTTCGGAATTGTTTTATTTTTTTAGAGTACAAATTAAAATTTCTATTCTCTCAAAATTTTTTTTTTGAGATAAAGCACTGTCGAACTTAAATTATGCAGAATTAAAGAAAATGTTTTACAATAACACTGAAATTTTTAATTTGTTACAGGAGAGTGTAGAATTTTTTTCCCATTCTTCTTACATTAACAACTGATTTGTGGTAATACATGCAAATTCTACTCCAAATATTGTTCATTGTTGACTGTGAAAAGAAACATGATTGTTAGAAATAGAAAAAGAATATCTATGCTTGAAAAATACTAAAATGGGTTTTTTGAAACATTGTGAAAGGCAAAATTTTAATTTCATTTATTGAAGAAACTTATTGAAAACTCTTTTATTAATTTTAAAATCTACAACATTTTCAAACAAGTATTTATGTCTGGAAATACCAATATCAATCATGTTTACACAATTTTTTTTCATATACCTTAGAAATCACTGTCTTCGTTTAACCAGTAAATGTGTGCTGGTTTAGCTACTTAAAGTATACCTGTCACTTACTATGTTTTTCTTTTTTTATTCTCGTACTGAAGAGAAATAATAAAATATTCCAATAAAAATGACATTTATTTCTTGTGGTTTTCAATCAAAACTGTTCATTTTGATGCATAATTGAAAAATAACTTTTCACAAACTTTTATTAAAGTTGAAGAGGGAAAAATCAGATGTTTTATTACGGGTGTTTTGACAAAGCTTCAATTTTGTCTTTAGTCTTTGAATCAGAATTTGAAATTAGAGGGGTTGTTGTCATCGGCAATTGAGACAGAGGGGGAGCGATTGTTCTTGTTTTCCAGTGGTGCCGCCTATGGCAAAGAATTCGACTTCTACCAGACCCATATGTCACACCCGTTCATAGGACGGACTCATTCAAACATTCATTCATTCGTTCACAAATCGTCACCTTGACTTGAAGCAGAGAACTATCAATCTCCAATTCAGTACCCCCAGAGGTTTTGATTTGTTATGGGAACATGGAGGACCTTGTTACCCGACAGATTTACCGTGCACCAATCACCATTTAATACACGGGGAATCTTTTGCCAGCAGGATTCGAATTCCCGTTCTCACGAACGTGAGTCTAGCTCATTGCCAAGCATTACAGTTTATTTTACATTCAAGCATTACAGTTCATTATAGACTACGGCAACTAGCTGGTCTGTCATTTTAAATAGGTAGAATTTCAAGTACTTCGGGATTTAAAATGGTTCAGTGAAAAATCAAGTCAATGTGGAAGCATAATAAGCTTAGTTTACTCAAGTGAGAGTAGATTTAATTTTTGTTTCTCGCATGTTCGCTTAGTATCATCAGTATCGTGATGAATTTGTTTTTAAAATGTTTCTTACAACATATGCTAATATTTAAAAAAAGGATAAATATATCAATGGCACCTTTGATTGACAATATTTGAAATTAGTAACTGTGTCAAAATCAACGGTGCACTTATTTGCTATTCGAGCCTATAAATTTCCTTTGTAAATTTTTTTTTGCCAAAACACTACAAATTTTAACCATTATAAATTTATTTAAGTTATAAGAATACACAGATCTAAAACAGTATGGAATACATTTCGAAGAAAAAATAAACGTTAAAAAATAATTTAGCTTTATGGCACTGTTCAAGAAGTAAAAGACTCCAGAACCAAAATGCTAGAAAGTTATTATCAACCTTTGTATTTATTTAACACATTTAGTTGATAATTTAAATAGACTTTAGTTTCCCAACCAGTTTTATTTAACCTTTTTAATCATAGACGAAAGTTTTTTACTATTAAAAACTTTTCTTAATATTGAGAGCATTAGTATAGTCTTTACTGATCTAAATATTAAATATGTTCATTCAAATATATGATCTTTGTAGTTTAGAACATCGATCCTTTTTTGGTTCCCAACCTTTTATCATACTTATCGGTAAAAGGACTATATGTTGGCGACTGCTTTTATGAGTTGTTACCCACAACAAACATTAAAACGAATTTTAATATCATGATTTATAAAGTTTAGAAGCTTTCACAATACTATCGTATTCAATTATTATCGCTTTGGCATAATATTCACGGTATTGTCATATTCAATGCACCTATGTGTATTATCGGACACCAAACAATCTGTGTAAAATAGAATTTGGCGTTGTTTTGCCTGTTGGAGAACTTGGTTTCATGGTACTCATAACGATAAGTACTGATTTTTTTAAAAAAAAGTTTATGATATTCTCATTTAAAGCATAGCAATATAAAGTTTGAGAATTTAAAATTTCTGACTAAAAAAGATGTGAAAAAAATAATTATTATTAATATTTGGTTTTTAAAATGTTTTAGTATTATAATTTGATAAATTTAAACATCTTTAAATCGAAATTCCGTTTTGACAAATAAGAATTTAGTATATTTCTGTTTAACATTACTTCCTCACAGTGAAGTATAATACAGTGAAGCCTGCCAAGTTGACCACCCTTGTAAGTTGGGCACCTGCATAAGTTGACCTCAATTATCAAGAACGGAATTTTTCCTATATAATATAAAGAAGCAAAACCTTTGTAACTTGACCACCTGTCTATCTTGTATGTTGACCACTGAAATAAGTCAATTTTGTCTAGGAGTATTATGAAATTCTATTCTAAAACCCTCATAAGTTGACCAGAAAAAAAAATTCAGAAAATTTTCTGTCATTTTTGCAATGTATGTTAAAATTTCACTTGTTTGGTGAAATAGTGTAAAAAGCTAATCTAAACCCTTTTGTGAGTTGACCATCAGGGGAAACTGTAAGGGGTCAGCTTTTGATCATTTCTTTCATCCGTTCATTGAAAACAGGTGTGTTAGTTGAAAAGTTGCTCTTCCAGTTGCAATAGTGAGCATTTGAATAAACGAATGCTCTGAAATATGCTTTGATCCTTTATTTATGGTCTTTGATCTTTAAGTGTAGTAAATAAATTTTAAAGAGCTCAAATAATTTTATTTTGTTAAGGTTTTCAAATTACATGCTTTCGTGTTCTGATATTTCAAGAAATTATATTTATTAAACACTTTGCATGCATAACTAACGAAATAATTTTTTAAAAAAAAAAACAGTTAGATATTAGAATTATATGTATCAAATTCAGGTTTAAACACATTTCTTAAGATATCCATTTGCATATTTTCTGAATAAAATTTTTAAGTCAAGTAAAAATTTTTTTTAATATATAGCAACATGATATAGGAAACGAAAAAGTAAACAATGACCCACCCCCTCTATAAGTTGACCACTTGTCTAAGTTGACATTACCACACAATGCACCATAAGTGGTCAACTTACACAAGCTTTACTGTAATAAACTTTGCGACCGGACTATCAGCTGGATAATCGGGTACTAAATATTTATTTAAATTCTTTATGGATGATACTAGTAAAAATAATTGTAAACCTAATTGTAAATCTAATGTATTCAATTCAAAATAAAATGGTAAATCAAAGAATTTACTATCGCTTTGAATAATCATGAAAAATCTTCCATTTTAACAGTATAAATTTGGATACAAGGGACTATCAATGTAATGATGGAATTTCCAAAGCTTAGCATGAACTAAAGGTAGTAAATTTACGATAACTATGGGAAAAATATCCCTTTTTAAGATACCACTTCAGCATTAATGCAGAGTTCTCATACTGTTACAATGCTCGTGTAGTCCTTAGAAAACTCAAAATGTGGTATAATACATATAAAAAGTTACTAAATTCTTTTTATAAGCTTTCAATTTAAAATTCAATGTACCACTTTAAGACCCGGTTCAATTTGAAAGTACTTTTTTCGTGTAATATTAGTTCAGAACATAAAATATGCTAGGAAAGGTGTTTGGTTGTGAACATTATAAGAAGTTAAACACAATAATTCATGCATACTAAAATACATCATAAAATTTAAGACATAATTTTGTGTTTGCAATGGATATTTTTAAAATTGTAGCTTTTAGAATGGCAGAAAAGCTGGGTCTTCAAGGGGTGAGACAAAAGCTATGCTAAAGCTTTCGATTATATGAATGGCAATGGGTTGATTTTAAATCTCGTAAGTGTACCGCCAAAGCCTAAATAGATTCGTAAATTAACACTGTTTTTTGAAGCTCTGTCGCCAAGGAAAATAAAAAAGCCATAGTTTAAGTGCCCTACTCTTGAAGCAATGCGATGGTTATAAACATTATATATAATCTTGCCACGAAAAGTTATCTGTGCTTTAGCACAGACAAATAATTTAAATATTTTAGAAGATTTTAAACTTTTTTCAAAATCGCCAATGTAGTGAAATTTTTTCACCGTGATGAAAATTATCAAAATCACTGCCTTATTCTCAGTTTTTGCAAATTTTTATAATACCAGCTAATGCAGCCTTGGAGTAAGCTTTAAATATTTAAAAAAAAATCAGACTACAAAAGCTTCTTATTTTCACAAAACTGCGGCTTTTCTCCATATTGACGTTTTGCGCCCTTTTTCAAAATAAGAGTAGGCAGCTCTGGCTTTTGATAGGCTAAACTTGACATAACAGCTATAAAAATAACATATTATTCTTAAAAAAGCATAATTTCATCAGCCGTCTTCGAAAAACAGCCTTAACAGTTACGGATCTAGTTCAGCCATGGTACCGCTATATGAAAACGTTAGGCAACATCTGGGGCTCTCTCCCTAATTCGAGTATATTATTTGGTACATATCTCTTTAGGATCCTATGTGGTATCACAAGTCTTGGCTGAAATTCCATATTATTGCGTTGGAATAACGAAAAAAACAGATGAATGTCACGTGGAAAAAGAAAACTGGAGCCAAGCAATCGCCGAATTTTATGATGAAATCAGCGTTTTTAATAAAAAGCTCATAAAATCTATGGAGTTTAGCCGAGATTGGGGACATTTTGTAGGGGTGAGTTTGACTTGTTTCTTTATCGATGATTACCAGGGCTATTATTTGACCAAAAACAAGAAAACCGGCAAAAAGTAACTTCAATTTTTATCGGAAGAATTATATTATACATAACTATTTTTTTTAATTATAATCAATCTATTTATATTGTGAATTTTTTACATGCTACATAGCTGCCAACTTGTACTGCCATTGAAAAATAGTTTTCTTAGTGTTAGTTCTTATCATAGGGGATAGCTTTCTCGCTTTGGTAGCCCGAAGAACTGCGCTCAAAATTGCGCTTTACGGTAGAACAGTTCAACAGGTACTGTTACCGGACGCTTCGCTGGCTGATAAAAGTGGTCAACTCGGATTGCCGTTACCCCTCGTATTTTAAGGGTAAAAAGTTCATTTTCATCGTAAAACAGGTGCATTTTTGAGTCTGAGTTTATTACTTATAATTGGATTCTTGCACTTTAAGAAGAAGATACATATGAATTATGATGTCAGCTGATAGTTTATAAGCAAAATGGAGGGCTAAGGTTGAATAATTTTCTCCACATAAGTTAGAATGTTAATTAACGTGAAGTTAATTCCGCATCACACATGGAATATGTTGAAATTTAATTCTTTGTCGTCTATGTCTTTTATTTAACTTAGATTTATAGTTTGTTTATGCATTTTATAGATATTGTGCTATATTTTTATTTGTGTACCTGTCAACTTCGATGCACAATCAGTTTGTTTATGTTCTACATGGCTTCGCGTCTGTCTTTGTGTTCAGTAAGAATTATATAGTGAAAGAATTGAAATATATAATGAAAGAATCTTTGTGAAAGAATACAAAACTTATCACCTAAGAGAGTTTATACTTTAAGAGCTCGGTTTACCCGAAACAGAATGAAAAGAACAGTTGAAAACGTAAACAAAAGCCACGTTTCAACAGCCAATCACGAGTGAGATACCTGCACAAGGTCACTTACAGGTATCCGATAACCTCGTCACAAATTATTTAGAATAATTATGATTAGTTGATTAGTTACTCCAATAGTTTAGATCTTATTACATGCAATCCGATTATTAGAACAAAGGTTATTAAGGTTTTTGGTCTTTTAATTTATGCTCTGTACTTTGAAGCAGTGTACAGGCCATATTAAGTTTCAAACTTGTTAGTTTGAGAGTGAGAACAGGGTTCTCGAAGTAATTGAAAAGATTTAGTAGTGGTAGTAAATTTAGGTTAATGCTAAAAGATAGTTTTTATTTTAATATCGTTACTTTATCGTTACATGGTTTGGAATTTAAAAAATTTCATGCATGCATACTTTCTTTTCTTTTGTGGTGGTTTACACAGAAATTAAAAAATCGATATTTGTTTTATTTTCACTACAGCGTTGTAAAATTTTCAAGACACGCGGAAACTTTGGAAAACATCTTAACCCTTTGACGCAGGGTTAAGATAAAGGTGTCCCTTATATATATTTTTTTTCTTACTCCCTAATTACAAGCAAAAATATGTTTTGATATACTAAATTGCAAAAATAGTCAAATAGATACTAAAAACATCGGTTTGATTAACGAAATTATATTAGTACTAAAATATAAAATTCTATTTGATTTTTTTTATTCATATTCAAAAATTTATCAATTATTACTGATTTTGCAAACAAAAGAAATTTTAATGATAAATTACTGTTTCCCTTCAATAACTTCAAATTAGAAAAATTATTGCTTGAAAAATTTTATCTTAAATGCAGAAAAATACACGTGTGTTTCATACTGTATTTCATAATCATAAATTATTAAAATGTTAAACATAATATTTTTCACTTGATTAGACTTAATTTAATAGAAAAAAAATTAGATAAATATGAAAAATACATTTGAAAAAAATTCCACGCCAGAGGGTTAATTCTCAGAGCGATACATGTTTGAATGCCCCAGGCTTGCGGAGTGCTTAAAAATTAAAGTGAAAGGTGCTAATTTTATTACATGGCATTAGAAATGAATTATTATTCGCCATCGTCTTTATTTGAAACAACAAGGTCACGTATTTTGCATCTATAGTTAAATCTTGGACTTCCCATCTAGATGAAAATTAAATTCATTGAATAATTCTCAATTTTTACATGGTTTTATGAATCCGAAAAATGTTGAGTAATGGAGTAATTTTTAAACTATTTTGAAATATTAATCCACAAGTGCTTTTCACTTACGCAAGATGCTTGGAGGATACGCCAAAAAAATTATTTATTTCCTGAATTGTACTACCGTTTTTAAGAATTTCTAAACACTGTACTAATTGTGAGAACACTTTTGAGAGTTAATTATTGAAGTGCATTTTTTTCTTTCTTTTCAGATTAATTGGGCAGAAGTATTTAGAGTTGGTTGTGGTTACGTGATTTGGAGAGTACCGAAGTCATACTTAGCAAATCATTATTATGCGTGCGACATAGCCCCTGCGTAAGTAGTTCAGTTATTTCCACGCGGCGTAGTTATTTTTGTATTTTCTAGCACAACGTTTGTTCGTTGAGCTAGCAAACAAGGAATGAAGTGTACTAACTCTTAAATCACTCTTGAAGCGATGGTGGGTGTGATATCTTAATCGGATCGGTATCAGTTTTTTCCAGCAGTTTAAAGATTAAGAAGACGCCATACCATGAGAGAAAATGTTCACAGCAATTTCTTTTCCTCCTCCATTACTAATTGACAATTTTAAATAAAAAAAAAAGTGAGTTCAGACAAACCTAGAACAAGCCATGAAGTTTCGATTGCTGAAAAAAATTATTTCAAAATATCAAAATGCAAGCAAATTATCGGAAGAGAATTTCTCCAATGTGTAATCCTAAGCTATATTCTCATTATTTATTTTATTTCGATATTTTAAATTTCTTTTCAGTATTTGAACTTCAAAGCTAACTCTAGGTTTGTTCAACTCACTTTTTCTATGCCAGCAAGGTGGCGGAGTGGTTAGCTTGCCCTACTTCAAGGCCAATGGCTGCAGATTCGAATCCCGCTCTGGGCATGCATGTTACTTTCTGTGTGTTGTCCTCAGTTGTGTGTGACATGAGAATGTTGCATACCCTATAAACGGGTATCTGTGTTAGTATCGTGCGGGTAATGCTGCTCGCCTTTATGATTTTGGTCACAAGGTACTCACCAGACAAATGAGCAGCAGTTCCGGAACCTTCCGTGGCGAAGAACGATAGGTTCAGTGCCTGCCGTTCAAAAAATAAAATGAAAATAAAACATAAAAAACTTTTTCTAAACTTTAAATTTTAAATTAGTAATGCAGGTGAAAGAGAAAATGCAACGATTAGTTTCTCCGATGGTATGGCATGCTTTAAAATGAAAGAGAAACGAAGGGATGTAAAATTAGGAGTTATTTATTTAGCACATTAAATACATCCATTTAAATTCAGCACTAATAACTTTTCCACTGGAAATAAAGCCTTTCCAATTTTAGCCTTTTTCAGGACAATGTAAAATACTCTTAATCATTTGACTAATAATCATTTATATATACAAGGCTATTTTTTTCAATGTTCGATCAATTTCAAAAAGAAAACCATCCTAAAAATATACATTTTTTTATTGTAACATTATGAGGGTTTAAGATATCCCCATTCGGCGATTTAGTTCATTTATTCTTTCGTTACTGAACTCCACTCCACTAAAGGAAGGACTGAACGGTACATCATGCCGTGAAGTGAGCACATCGTTCGTTAGTATTTTTTATAAGAATTTTTTGTAGCTAAAATTTTTTTACTCCTAAATATAACACACAGAAGTAATTTGTTTCGACTTATAAAAACTATTAGCTCAATGAAAAATATACTTTTTGTGTTATTAATGCAATACAGATAAATGGAATATTGGCCCCGCGTCAGATTGAAGTGGATTAGAGGGGAGATTACAAAATGATTTTCATGCTGACGTAGGGTGATTTATGGCCCTCGTATACACAGGACATCGTGTGCACAAAGAATATAGAAAGGAGAAGAAGTCCACACCTTAAGATTACATAACTAACTCCGGGAACTGCTCGGTTCGGTATTCTATAACAGAAAACAATTTACAGGGTGAGCAACATACTCAGAGTTAACAGAACATCATATGTACTAACATCCAGCTCATGCTCATAGGAAGCAAAGGGACTGACAGGTGGTATGTGAATCGGTTGTTTGACAACTCCACATGTGTGGTTGGGTATTCTACCACTCGCACCGGGATTTTATTCTTTCTTTCTTTGTCAAAATGTGTTGACAGATTTAATCAACATGAATGATATTCATGTATTCTCAAGGAAATATCTTTATAAACAGTACAGTACCGTTTTGCAATAGCGTAAAGTGCATTAAAAACAATAATAAATGATAAGAGTAAACATTCCTTCTGCTCCAAAACCCCAAAAGTAGTTGAAACCCAATGTTTTTTAAAAACAAGAATATCTTTAAAAAAAGCATTATGCCTTATAATGTACTTGGAAAAGTTTATTGAAGCATATTTCAAATAAGTAAACAGCCTTTGAAAGCGGATATTCTCTAAAAAATTCATTTCATACGCACCAATTTCATAGTTGTTCCGATTTGTGGTAGCCAATTATAAACTTTTCAATACCCTCGTCATAGTAGGCAGGTTTTTAGCTATCGGTTGCAGGTCTCTCGGTTTGAAGCTCAAGTTATAATGCTGCCCTTCAAGTCCACGTTTTCAGTGAGGAAAGAGTCAAATATCGGGAGACGAATCACTCTGCATAGAATTTGTGAACTGGCGATTTCCTCAAATCGCTTAATCGACTTTCTAAGCAATACCCTCCATCAACTCCCGCTTTCTTTCCTGATGTATGCAAAATAAACTCTCTACGTCCTGTTTCAAAGCTACTGCACAATTATCTCAACTCTGTAGCCTTGAAATTTTGAACTCAATCCAGAAGGTAAGGGAACACCTGGTTCAAGTATTGGGAGAAATTTGCCTGAGTCTAATACTTTTTGAGGGAACTAACACGCATTTGCGTTACATAGAGAACAAAATCACGAAAACCTTTCATGGTCAGTCTGACGGCAAGGGGACTCTAACCCGTGATCTGTCTACCACTGAGGATATTTTACGTCAGCACTATGGTCGGTGCAAGCTGGATGCTGAATTCGAATCAACCAGCCATTACTCGGATTCGAACCGGGTTCCCCTCATTAGAAAGTGAACTCTCTATCTCTTGAGCCATCACGGCACGCAGATCGAATAAATGAATTCTGAATTACGAAAATTTCAACGTAGGCATTACTCTATACACTTTCTTTGTATTGCATACCATGTAGAAACCCGATTGTATACATGAAAAAATTCACTCTTGAAGGCTGTTTTCATTGTTATTACCATTCATACTTATGCACCTACTGAGTACTGAAGATTGGAAAGTGGGGCATGATGCGATTAACTAGTATTCGTGTAGCATATCTTCGCAAAGCTTGTTGTGAGTTTTCCATGTGGAACAGAGGTTGGACAATAAACAAAGTGAAATTTCCGAAGGCTGTACAATAATATAAAAATCCTTCTATACTAACTCTATGCAGACATTATTTCTTTCAGCAGCAAATGTTTTGGAAGATTTCCCACGACGAAACTGCTGGCATAATTCGAAAGGTCATACATGAAGCTCTTACAAATGGTGTTATTTTAAACCATGAAAAATTCGAATCGATCAAAGGAAAGGAAGTTAATGATTTATTTCTAGCTTCAGTACCAGCAGTTTTGAAATCATGCTATACTATTGAGATATTTGTATAAGAATGCTTTTGAAATTATGATGATATTAAAAAAGGAAGAAAGCTACGGTCATTTTGGGTTGATCCTGACTTTGCTTGGGTAAAAAGGACACCATTTCAAAAAGCTTCAAACATTTTTTTTAATAAATTGTGCCAACAGTTTTTCTAGGTAAAACCTTCCAAAACATTTACTGCTAAAAGAAAAATTATTAACATAGAGATATTATATAAGTGTTTTCACATTTTTGACCAACTCATACTGTATGTGGATCCAAAAATTGTCTTTATATAGCTAAAGGGAAAGCAAAATTTAAACATCTTTTTAGTACATTTGATCAAGCTTATCTTCCACTCCCTTTTTTCCTGGTCATAACAACCCTACAGGAATAGGACATTATTTTCTTAAATACCAAACACAGATCTATTTGATAAATGTTTATATGTTTTAAAGTAAGAGGTGATTATTTTCGTTATTAAGTTCCTTAATAAAATTCCCATTTACAGTTTTTATTTTATTTCTATATGATAGAAAACAAATTTTAATTTAAAATTGAAGAATATTTTTGGTGACAAATTTTCTCAGTAATTATCAGTATATTGTTTTTTTTTACGTAATAAAATTTTTTTGAAAAGCATTTCAATGAATGAATGAACACTCAAAAGGTATTTAAAGCACATAGTTTAATAAAATAAAATTAATTCTATATGCAATGGTTTTTCCTGTTGCAGATAAGAAATTCTATTCTAGATCAATATTTTTTATGTGATACGGTTTCAGAGTTAAGTTAGAGTTTATAAATATTGCCACGCGCGTTTTACTTAAAATTTTCACACTCGCAGTTTTCGGATGATTTCACTTGCTATACTCTAGTGATAAAAAAAAATGGATAAAAGTTTGAAAGCAAGCATAATATTCTAGATTTCCAAAGTTCAAATAAACGGTAGGAATTTACATTGAAATCATATTTTTAGGCCTAATATGAGAGGTGGCCGAATGTACATAGAAGGACCCACTTGTTCACAGTGCCCCATCAACTCATGCTGTGGAGGCGCAACCTGCAAGTCTGGACAGGGGTACCGAGGACTCTGTCGTAAGTAGAGCGGCACTCTTTTTATTTTTTTAATTTTGTACGATTTTAGTTTCTTGCTTTCGTATTCGAGGGAGTGATGAACTATTTTAAATCTTAATAAATATAATTAAACCTTAACCTTCTCAGGACTGTGATCACACATACGTGATTGCGCAATTCACCCTTCATCTACCTTCTGCCTGTTTCCTTAATACAATTTTATGAGTGGTCATTAAAGAACACTCTGTATTCCTAGAAATGAATATTTTTCGAAGTTTCAATGTTCATTTTATTTTCTTAATGCTTGTACAAATAATACCATCCTTGACCGCAAGACACGATCTCCACTTGATCAACGAAGTCTAGCTTCTCTGTCAGAAGTCAGTGAGTGGGTAGATAATCACTTTGATCAGACTGTGAATAGGCCGAGGGTGAACGGTATCCCCTTTCAAAAATGTAAGGTATTTTTGAGGTTTATATGAAGTAGTTTTGGGGTGTCAATGTTGATATGATGTTTAGTCGAAGTTGATTTCAAAAACAATCTTAAAACATCAACCTCCCAAGGTGTATAATCAAGGTGTATGAAGCTGTTTTATTCCCCCTTGAGGTTGTTTTGAGTTTGATGGAAATAAACTTTTGAGCAAGCAGCTTAGAGAGGTAGCTTTTGAGGTTTGCAAATTAATTTTTCTACTCTTCAAACAAATACATATATTTGAGGTGCGAATAATTTCACCCGATCCAAACTAAACTTATTTCTGAGCTATATATGAGGTTGATTTTGTAAGATGTGAATGAGGTTGAAATTGAAGTTTATTAATGAGATTTTTTGGGGGGTTCAAAATAAGACCTCATTTTCTACCTCAGATGCATTTTTTTAAATCAGTCAATCTCAAAAACACATTTTTTTGTAAGTATCTGGTCTTGTTAAATTGTAGTATCATCCCACGTATGTTGTGGGGACATCAAAATGGAGAAGTTATTCCCTTGGCAGAGGATCTAACTAATCCTCAGGGGTGCTTCCCAGACCATCACCAACAACTTATTGCGAAAATGATGAGCCATGCAAATGGAAGGCTACTAAAACTAAATAGTACAATACCTCTCATCTGATTTATAATTTTTGTTAGATCTCTACAACTTCCCGCCTCTTTATCTGCCACCAAAACAACCGTTCCGGTTCCGTTGCGCTTTTATGAGGGGAGATCCCAGCTGCCATTACAGTTCAAGAGATTCACAGAAATGGGAATATGTTCAGACCATTGGTGGTGAGTTTTTAGTAATTTGTTTCAGTGCAAACTTCTAGTTTAGTTTGTACACAATTATTTATACTATATATTTATTCACTCTATATATTTGTTCAGACAATATATTTATTCACACTATATATTTATTTATTTTTTTACCTTGCAGCAGATATACCTTCGTACTAAAATAAGAAAGCGACAAGCCTATCCTAAATGCACTATCACAAACTATTCTAAGAAAAATTAAGACTTTTTTAAGAAACAAAAGAGCATTAAAATCTTATAGCAGTTGAATTCAGCATTCTTCTTTAATCGGGTAATAGTTGATTTAAGGTTAGCAATTACAATTAATTTAAAAAATATTTTAACTAAAGAGTAAAAAGGTAACTTAATCGCAATTTCATTTTTAAATAGCACATGTTTTACTGAAATGGCTTAAAAGTAAAATTAAATTATCAATGTTTTGCCATAATTGTAGACATTTTGTTTACATGATTGTGGAACAGTTGACATGACGGCCACAGAGTCTCTAGAGAAAAAGAAAGATTCTCAATGTCCGTAAATTTGACACACGTCTATGGAAAAGGGAACATTTTTAGTTCATTTTTTAAGAAGATGCAATACTGAATTGTTTGAGGTTCAAAAAGTATTATGGAAGTGAAAAAACATATCTAAAAATAGATATGTTTTTTGTATATGTGTATGAATTTTAAGCAATCAAATATTAAAGCCTAAAACTGATTTCAGACGACGGCTGAAACTAAATTAATGGAGGCGGAAATAGACTTGCTAACTACTTGGGCTCCGTTATAGCATCGATCAGTAAAAACTGTAAGCTATGTTACTATTGGCTGGACCTTGCACAGCAATAAAAAAACATGAGAACTCAAAGATAATGAAATGATAAAACCGAAATTTTTTAATGAGTAATCAGTGCATAACCAAACTAAGTTCAAGTCCACATTGCTAATCAATTGAAAATGTTGCGTCAAAAATGAATATGCGTGACGGTTACAGCTTAGGCATTTTTGGACGGTGTTAACCTCAAAAGGTGAATTTAAGATTAAATTTTAAACTGGGTCCCTAAAGACAGTTGACAAAATAAGTTTGAAAGTTATGCTGAAAAAGTTTGGTTTTGAAAGGAAGTTATGAAGTGATTATTTAGATTTATTTTTGATCCTTTTTATAAAAATGTCAATGGTAATTTTATAAAAGATCATCATAAATACGGTGATTTGTGTGATTTAATGGCAGCCGGACTATTTTAAATTATTTTTAAAATTTAGCACGTAAGGAAATTCGACAATATTCAGAACATCTCTAGAAAAGTATTAAAATTAACCGGTTAATGCCGAACGGCACATATTTAGGACAGTTCCTTTTTTCAAAGACATTCATTGTGGTGGGAAATTTTTTTCAGTATTTTCATTTATCTGGGTGAATTAACATGTTGAGCACAGCGTCAGCCATCGCTGGCTGACAATGGACTTTCCATTTAGGCGGTGTTAGCCACCGGTGGCTGACACTGAAATTACATTTAGGCCGCGTCAACCACCGGTGGCTGACACTGACCTTTCACATAGGCCGCGAAAAACAGTTGACTGACAGCGTATAACATGATATATAAAACTATAAAATTTACACTCTCTTATGGAATTGCAGAAAATGTATTCAAAATTTACTTAATTTTTGTGAATCTTGGTTTAATAAATTCAATTTAGTAGATTTTTATCCACCACTATTTTTAAACAATTCGTAAGGTTATACAATTTACCACTTTTTTTGATATGTCGTGATAAATCGTCTAAAAAAATAAAAAAATCCGTCTAATGTTTGAAAATTTAGTTTGTAGTTTTTTACCGGCCATGAGGGCAAGTCATGTAAAATTACCGTGGCGCTCAACGTGCTAAAAGATTCACAGATACCGTGATGATTGGGGGAGGAGTAATAATAGTTTGATTTACTTAATATATCACTACTCAATTCATAATAAAAACTATATCGTTACACTTTGAACTAACATTAATAAGATATGTTAGAATTAAAGTGAAAGCAAAAACAAGACTGTTAAATTCTAAAAAATAAGCCTTGTCCAAACTTAAGTTACCGCTTTTTATTTTTTTCCCATTCTGATTCTGGTAATCCGTTTATGACTCGCCCGTCTCGAAAAGGTTAAAGTTCATACGTTTCGGAAAATATTTCTGAAAAGGGATCACAAGCTGGTTATCAGAGACAGCTAGTATTCATTAATTGACATATATTTGCAACCTCATTCTTATTTTTACTGGCTGTTCTATTAAATGGCCATTGCACTAACTGGTATAATTTCATTGTAGTCCGATCAGACTAACTTTTACCCTTTCAAAGGCCGTGGTACGTATACTTACCACCACTTTTTAAATTCCATGGCAAACTTTTTTAATACTTTTAATTTTGGTTTCCATTTGTTAGTAACTTCAGCTTTCTTGAAGTGGGTTTAAATAAATTTGGTAACCATTTGTTAGTTTAAGAAAACGTATATAATTTATTAAATACATAATTTCTTTTGAAGTTTGAAGCAGCTATACAATTTATTTTATAAATAACGGAAAATAAAAGTAAATAAGTTCCTAAGTAGGTCGTGGTAAATATACTTACCACCAAAGAAAAAAATGGTTTTAAAATTTCGATTAATTTTTTATAAACTAAATTAGTTCTTTTCGTTAGGTCAATTACGATTCTTATATCAATTTCAATTCCAAAAATACTTTAATTTACCTGTACTAGAAATAAAAGGGTTAAGAAACCGTGTAGACGCTTTCAGTTATAAGAGGCGATGGCAAATCTTGGAGTATTAACCTCCATGACCCGTAATTTCCTGCCTGTTGCGAATATGCTGTACTTTATATCTTTTTATTCGTTGCAGGTAACTTCTTAGCCATTGTTCTCAGCAGTGGAGAGAGTGCGAGTGTCCGCTTCTACTCATGGATACAAATCAGGCGTGTTTCATGTCTGCTCATAAATTATCACAAGGGTCCAAATGTACACGGTGAACCAGGTGACAGTACACTTGAAGCCATTTTGGAAATTAATGGTAAAATGGAGAGACTACCGCTTAATACTAGGAATCATTGGGAATATAATCTGGCATCCTATCATTTAATGTATGATGGATATGCAATGGTAATAAATAATTTCAAATTTATTTTACAGGTATATTTCCTCCTTATTTATAAGCGGTAGAGCCTTATAAATATGGATGAAATATATTTTTTTTAAAATTATGTGATAAGGATTCTACAGAATAGGTGGACATTCTCAGAAGGATCTACAACAATGTTTTTCAATCTAATTTATTAGTAGAACCGGTAAAATATTTCTGCGTTTTATCGCGGAAGAATAATGTGTTAGTGATTTGGACAATTGGCGATATATATATATATCGCCAATATATATATAGGGGAAGAGCAGGCAAGATGGACCGCTTAAGGAAACTTAGTTCAAAAAATAGTAAACTAGAGCAATTTTAAATCTTTTACACTGTAAACATATAGTGGGAACATTGCTCTTACATATCTCATACCGAAAATAAATAAATAATAAAGTTCAATAATAATAACTTAACATAAACAAAAATAGAAGATTGTTCTATCTTGCCCGGGCTTGTACCATCTTGCCGAACATTGCTCTTACATATCTCATACAGAAAATAAATAAAGTTCAATAATAATAACTTAACATAAGCAAAAATAGAAGATTGTTCCATCTTGCCTGGGCTTGTCCCATCTTTCCGAATATTGCTCTTACATATCTCATACAGAAAATAAATAAATAATAAAGTTCAATAATAATAACTTAACATAAACAAAAATAGAAGATTGTCCCATCTTGCCCGGGCTACCCGCGCAAGATGGGACACATAATTATATTTCAAAAATCACTGAAATTGATGTCAGAATAAGAGAATAATCGACAAATAAAACGTTCCTAAACATCACAGTTACCGCATAAGAAGCTGCCAAAAACGGAATAAGTACTGCGAGCTTCATGAGCCCATTCGAAGCAATCTTAATATTGTCTGTCAATTAATTAATTATAAATAATTTTTGTAAATTTTTTTTAAATAATTTGTTAAGTAATATTTGCTAGTTCTTCTTTTTGATAATATTACCTTATTTTTTATGCTTTTTGCCAAATCCGGAGAGTTTAATTTTTATATTACACTTTTAGTCTATTTTGGCCGTCCCATCTTGCCCGGATAGTACATTTTTTAAAAAAGACATCCGCAAATTCGTTTAAATAAATAAATTTTAATTTACACTACTCATTATGTTTGTACAGTAATAACACTACATGGCCACAAATTTGAAAAATTTGCTGCAATGTATTAAACAAATAATATCAGCATACAAATCAGGAAAAATATTTTACCACGATATAAGAAACGATATAAGAAGCAACACCTTGTGAACTGACGAAAAAACTTGTCCATATTGAGAACAACAATATTTTCTTTCCGAAAACGCACGTTAGATGTCGCTATCGTGATGCGCATGGAAAAAAAAGCGATGTCCCGTCTTGCCCGGTGATACCAACTTGACCGACCTTCCCCTATATATTGAATTAAATTAATTACATTAGAAGGATGACATTATTAAAATTAAAACTGCTTTATTAGAAATGGAGGTGTGATTTATTTGATGTTAAAAACTCTCTGAAATCACAGGCCACTATACGATTCCACCTTACGATCCTTCATTCCTGTCCTATGCACATAGTAACTAGAATGGGCGTCTCAAGGCTTTAAGCATTTCCCTCCTCTCCGTTACCATGGTGTATCAGAATCCTCCCACTTCTTTTTAAAACGCAGTTGAAAAGACACAATATTTACTCTAACCATTGTAACGGTGAGAGAAAAAGTGTCGAGAATGGGAAAATCGCAGAACCTTGAGACGCCTATTTTTTTTTTCTTCACAAAAAGTATTTTTTTAGTAACGTAATCTTATTCATTTGTTTTAAGTATTTGGATTAAGACTCATATTAACGTTATTTTTTTATATCTTTTGTTTTAGCTTGAACTCAAGTTCAGTGTGATTCCTGGTTCTTATCCGCAGTATTTGGAAATCAAGGAGATCAAAATTACTGCCCAGCCCTGCGGAGCACCAGAATGTGTCTGTCAGAAATAAAATAAAAAACATTGTTTCAAATTTTGCTGACATTGGATATTATCAAATCTTTTACGCCTTTAAAGCATCTTTTAATGTCATATTTTTGCATTCTTATTTATAAAGCAAATTATAGTAATTGAAATTATTTGTTAAATATTTTAATATTGTTGCTTGGAAGTTCTTTAATTGGAAAATTGTTAGGTTTGGTCACACAACAAGGTTGTCAAAATTTCAAGCAAGACTTGATTTTCGGACTATATATGTAAAGCAGCTAAAAATTCAGTGTTAAAAAAAAAGAAAAACAGAAGGCTACTTGAAAAATTTACGATTTTTCGTTGTTACAAGTTGAACCATTCATTGTACTCGTATTTTTCCATTTTCTGATTGGATTCGGCCTCTATGTTTATACAATTTAATACTATACTGCATTTTAATGTTTTTTTTCAAGCTATTATTTATTACCATGTCAGGAAAGAAGAAAATCAGCGTAGCGTAGCTGACAATGCTTCGATCTGAAGTAAATATGTGCCTTTTGGGATGCCTTCCCGAGCAAATAGGGGTTTGTTTACACATTGATGCTCTGGAGAATTATTCCTGATAAGTACAGGATCTTTCGCAATATCACAATTTAATTCACTCATATTGCAGTCGAGAAAAGTTGTCCACGTGCTCCAATGGAGTCTAGTAATCTCCTAAGGGGAACTTGCTATCCACTTATAACCTCACTCTAACCTTGATAGGACACTGAGTCGTCTTGCGTCACGCACACTAGTTCGCGAGAACAGCAACCACACGTCCTTCTCATTCCGAGGTTGAGACAGTGATATCCACACCGAGCTGATGAACTATCACTGATGATGATCTTGACCAAACGGAAGCCTCCTTGATGATCAAGGTACAACCAGTGCCAGGTACACACACCCCAACCTTTGTAGAAGACTGAGTACACTAGTTAGAGAACAGCAACCACACGTTCTTCTCGTTCAGTTCAAAGCATAATGATGATCCAAACATACGATCTTGAGCAGTATAACATGATTTTGTAGAAATGATAATGTATGCAGAGATGCCAACTTGCTCCTCTTTGTAAAATAGTATTTTCTAGTGGTAGTGAAATTTAAGTTATTTTTAGTTTAGTATATTTCATTATAAGTAATTTTTTCGCCACTAAATATCAAAAATTATAAGTATGATATTAAATGCAACGTTAAAGCATCAAACTACTGGTTACTCTATTAAAAAGTAAGCGTAACTATCTTTCTTTAGCGAATTTTACTGTATAATTTGATACCACTTTATTAAAACTGTTCCAGAAAGTGGAGCAATTGGCATCCCTGTGTATGAAACAAAAAGAATTCGACTAATGAAAAAGCATTCTGACAGAGATCCATGAACAAGACGTGCCATCCTGTATAATTGGGTACTAAATATTAATTGAAAATTGTATGAAAACAGTTTTCTTTTTTAAATTAGTGGTAGGAAGAAGTTGAGTAAATTAAATTTATAAAGTTTGGAAGATGGTTTAAATTTTGGATGTATGGATTGTATATGGCTATCATGTAAAAGCTTAAATTTTAGGGTTTAAAAATTTGTTTCTACCGTTTTTAAACATTGAACTACTGTTTTTAAACAAGTGCCTATTTTCTATGAAGAAATCAATCGTGATGATTTATGAATGAGGAAGTTCATTCTGAATGAAAAATGTTAACCAGTATAAGGTTAGATTTTTCGTGTAAGCAAACCATCTAGTAGAAAGTAGGCGTTAATTTTTCTAGCATATAAAGTTTTAAAAATGAGTTCATAAAAAGTGGAAAAAAAATCGTAATTTAAAAACATTTTAGTCATTCAACAACAGATAACAGGCATTGAAAGTACAAAAAAAGAAAAAAATTAAATGTAAAATAATATTATTTTCCCGCTATCGGGTATTTTTATTGTGCTCCAATTTCCAAATTTTATATTAAAATAGCTACCAATATATTTTTAAAGAATTAAAGTATATATAAATATAAAAACAATGAACATCATAAAATACCTTTCATGAGATACTAGCACTCGGGGAGTTCTACTTCAGTGTAGTTTTATTCCCTGGGTAAGAATTTAATATTCAGCAGTGTCAAATTCTAATGTTAGGAGATTTCTCATACACGCATTTCTATATAAAACGTCGGTCCGTTGTTAACGCGACCGAAGAGTAAAATAAGTATTAAACAAATGAACAATTTAAGGTAGAGCAATCCCGAGGTTTTTAAGAACTATTATTTTGAATTTCAGACAATGTGTAATAGTTGCATTTTTTGATAAACTTGATTTTTTTTTCCGTTTTTTTAATACAAAAGTAGGTGTTAAAAATTGAATATTGGGAAAGTTTGAGCTCCTAAAAGAATTCTTTGACTGCAAAAAAATTAAAAAGTTCGAGGACAATTTCTTTAAAAATGAAATTTAAGATGTTTAAAGGGGTTTATTTAACACTAGATTTACGAACGTTTCTTATATCTCTACGAACACGCATCAATTTGACGTATGAACGATATAATACATATAACAGAATACATATAACAGCACTTACAGAGAAGTCAACTTGCTCCGGGCAGCAACTACAGTGGTGGCCAAAAGTGTGGACATTTTTGAAAGTTTCATGTTTTTCAACTTTGTGTGCTTGTAGAATATATTAATTTTCACTTAAATACATATCTCATATTTTCATAATTCTTATAACCACACGGACCATGAATCATATTTTTCGAGACAATATCTTGCAAGTCTTTATCAATTTCAATGTCTGGTATTTCTGCAAAGATGATTTCATCAATTCTGTTTGGTGTTATCTTTTCCATCATCCGCATTAAAATATGCGCATGTGGTAAACCTCTTTTTTGCCATTCAATGGAATACATCCAACAGCGCGTCTCTCCAAATACATGGTGTTTGACAATAAAATCTATTAAAGATTTTAATTTTTGTTTAAATATACGTGCAGAAATATCGTGACGATCTGATGGTGATTGTTCAGTTAATAAAAGCTCCTTTATTTTATACCATTCTGGGTTGCATGTAAATGTGATGAAAAAATCTGGACTACCATATGCACGAACATACGTCATTGCATCTTGTGAATATTCAGGCATGTGTCTTGGGTTGCCTGCATATGTGGATGATAAAATGACCATTTTTCCAAATTCACTGAGATTGCCATCATTTACAACTGCGTCACGCAAATGGGTGTACTCTTCAAAACGCAATTTGACTTGATTTAGTCGTATGTAGAGGAGTCTTTCACTTTCTATTTTTGCATACATGTCAACAATGTATTGATGAAATAATTGTCTGCATTTCAATACATGATTATCAGCATTCTCACGAATCATCATTCGATGTGCATAATAATGCATAGCACTGACCTTTTTGTTAATGTCCACATTAGTTGTAGGATTTCTCATGTTAATATTAAAATGATATCCATCCTCTCCTTGCCAAAATAGAATGGGATATTGTAATGCATCATACGAACGATGCGTTTCTGATACTTTCTGGACGTCACCAATTCTACAGTGAAGAATTATGTCGCGAGAATTAAATTCTTCACCAACTATGACAATTGCTACTTCATCGATCGTTGATGCGTTGAATTGTCTTCGATGTTAACCAAAACCAACAGGTGTTTTATCTGCCTTTATTATTACTTTGTAATCGTCAGATGGCATTTGTTCAATGGCGGTGGTTTTAAATAATTTAATTAATTCATTATGTTGTTCAAACAAATTCTGTGATTCAGCGACAATCTCTCGTTTAGTACTCATATTCAGTTGACACCGTCTGTTGATTTGTTCGTCAGTATTTCCCATAAAATATATCTGAAGATATTTGTGATCAGCATTTGTCAAGTGTAGTAGTGATCCAGCATGGTGATAAATTTGCGCTTGTACTTTAAATGTTGGCATATAATTTGCGCTAACGATATTTGTTGCTCCGAACGATGTCATTTGGAAGCATGAATTGTACTTGCGTATATTTTTCAACAAAATTTTTTTGATTGACTTGTTTCACCTGATACTAAAGTTAATAATGGTGAACGCAAGTCTGGTAACTTTACTTTTCCACCTGCACCGCACATTCCTGGTGTTTCATTTTCAAATTTTAGAGCACCACAATACATACCTTTTTCATCCATTTTTCCAATAATTACACTTAGATGAAGACTGTAATTGTAAAGGGGATTGTAATTGAAACCACATAAATTCAAATCAGTATGTATCGTTCGTATTGTCCGTGTCCCGCGAATTCGATTCCTTTGCTGTCTTGTTTGTCTCTGTTCATTCGTTTCTAATGATCGAGCTAGATCAGTGCGATCTCGATCTCTTTCTTGCCTAGTTTTTCTCTGCTCACTTGTATCTGAAGCTCGTTCTTCTCTTCTCCTTTTTGCTTGATTTGTAGATAGACCAATGGCCCTTCGCTTTGGTGGCATAATTGAGGAGTTAAATAAAACGTATTTCCAAAAAATATTAATAATTTTCACGTATTAATTATTTATTCTCGTATTAATAATTGCAAAAGTTTTTGACATCCTAAAAACAACCTACAAACGTATTACATCCTATAAAAAATAATAGGAGCTGCCATCATCAGTAATTATAAAGTAGGAATAATACAGAATATGATATCACTCGAATAATACAAATTATAACAATAATACAAACAATCTCAGGTGCAGGAATCTAGCAAATATTACATTATGTCATACTGCTAAGTTGAATTTCAAACGTCATTACTAATTAAATGTTATTTTGATATTTTTTGAACGAAATTTGCTTTTGCCTTGATATTTATTAAACAGCTTTCACAATTCGCGATCGCAACGCTCGAGTACGCCCTCTAGCGGGAGACTGAAAATAACGGACATTAGTTCCCACATAACCATTGGCAATGACGGACGCCATTTTCTTAGCAGCAAATAAGAAGCAAAATTTCCCTAAGGAAAAGGTAGAACTTCTTGAAAAAAATAACCAGAACATGCCAAACATTGAAGCAGAACACGCCAATCAGTTGAAGAGCAATTTCTGAATAAATTTTACCTTTCTATTACCAACA